AAACAGCCCCTCCGCTCAAGAAAAAGCCATTTTTTCACAAAAACTACAAACTGTCATCTAGAAAAAACCATTGGTGGGATCTTCCTGCAAATTTGGCAACTTAAGTAATTGAATGTGCTCTATCTTTTTTATATAAACACCAAAGAAGGTTTATGTGAAAGAAACTGTTCAAATGATGAGTCGGACTCTTTGCCATTTTAACCAGCTGCGTTTGGAAGTTCATAAACTCCACGAAAGAAAAGCTTTGTGGAATCTCTCAAAAGTGATTTTGTAGAGAAATAGTGGATCCTTTTGATGAAACCAAACGTATGTTTAAAGAAGGCTTTATGTGTACAAAAAGTCCCTTTAAAGTTGGGCGCCGACTCATTCTCCCCAACCCAATATTACAAAAAAAAAAAAGAAAATTATAAAACAAACAAATGTGTTTTTTGATGAATTTTTTCAATTCTTTTTGTTTTTCTTCAAAATTTTGATTTCAACGAATGATTTGTGTTTTACAGGTAGAGGGGGCATCAGTTGGAAACAATAAAACAATATAAACAATAAACAAAGAGCCAAAATTTTGATTGAAGTGAAGAAAAACAAAAAGAATTGAAAAAAATTCATAAAAACACATTTGTTTGTTTTTTTTTTTTAATAGTTCCGATAGTTTACCCACGCTTTAGCGCGCAGAAAGTTGAAAAACGCTACTTTTGCGTTCAAAAGGCATCAACTTTTCACAGATTCACCCAATTGTTCTCGTTTTGGTGTCAAAATGTGCACAAGACCCTTGAGCATAAAGTTCGGTATATGACGCTCACCAAAATTTCCTTTTCGTGGAGAACCAACCTGTAAAAGAGAGGCAATTTTGGCGTTTATATGGAAAAATAGTGATTTTTTCGATTTTTTTCGATTTAAAAAAAGTCTGTCAGGCGGATTCGAAAAATTCTTTCAAATTTGAATTCAGGACATTTTTTTTTGCATCAAATAGCACTTACCGTGAGCAAATTTAACGGCGATCGCATTTTTCGTCTTATTTCGCGCAGACGTGCCTTTTGTTTCCTTAAGAGGCTCCACTATTTCTCTACAAAATGCTTTTTGAGAGATTCCACAAAGCTTTTCTTTCGTGGAGTTTACTCCCAAGCACCGTTAATCAAAATGGTCAAGAGTTCGACTCATTGAACAGTTGAACATTTGAACAGTTTCTTCCACATAAACCTCCTTTAGTGTTTAGATAAAAATATCGAGCATACTCAATTACATAAGCTGCCAAATTTTCAGGAAGATCCCTCCAGCCGGTTTCTCTAGCTGACAGTTTATAGATTACCGTGAGCAAATGTAACGGCGATCGCATTTTCGCGCGGATGTGAAACGTATCTTTAAAGAAGGCTTGCAAAGAGTGTCTTTAAAGTTCTTTTAAATTTCATTCTCCCCAAAGGCGCCATTTCATTCTCCCCAACCCAATAGCTAGTTGAAAAGAAGAAGCTAGTCTGTCATTACAGTGCACACACACACAGTACACATTTACACTGCAAGTCCATCTTGTCGTCCATTTGCAAGTCCATCTTGTCCATCACGTCGCCGATTTTCAATTCTGACAAATTGTGATCATATCGAACCCAAAAAAGAGCAGAACAAATTATTTTTCCGAATTTCAGTGCATTTCCGGCGATCTTTTAATGAAAAAATCCACAATTTATTGAAAAGAAGGAATTAAAACAGGTGAAAGAGTGAGAAAACTCGTAAATCATCAAATCTATTTCTTTCATAGAATCATTTTTCCTTTTTTCCCGATCGTTTACCGTTTTATCGGCTTAGATCTTGGTACATTGGTGAGGGAGAGTTTGGAATCAGAAAATCACACAGAATCTGCCAAAACGACCGGAAATCACAAAAGAAATCTACAAATATTGTTACCGCATTTTCCCGAATAATGGCGCACTACAAATCTACGCGAAAATGTAATCGCTGACAGATTTGCACAGATTTGCCCATGCCTATATGCATTCGATGCAAAAAATGATGCTGATTCCGAATCTAAAAGAATTTTTGAGATGCGTCTTACAGGTTTTTTTAAAATTGCAGTTTAGTGGAATGGTGGTCTAATGGAAATCGTTTAATGGAAACGGAAATATAAAATTTTCTGCAGCTATATGTTCATCTTCTAGTAACTACTTCTTGCCCGAACAACTGGACTTCCAATGCTGGAAACTGTTATTACGTGAAGGTTAGTTTGAAGTTTGAAGTTTGAATGTCTGAATTTTGAAGTGAACATCATATCAAGTTACACACTTTCACCAAAAACTAAGATTTCACGTTAACTTATGGAACCGACTGGCAGCTGTATGATTTCAACACAGCTGAGAGGAACTGCCAGCAATTTGGGGCACATTTGGTGTCGATTCATGACAAAACGGAGAACGATTTTGTTTACGGTAAATTTCTACGGTTTTTACGGTTTTTAAAATTGCAGTTTAGTGGAATGGTCGTTTAATGGAAATCGTTTAATGGAAACGGAAATGGAAACGGAAATGGAAAAAAAGATAAAATGACCTCTCTTCACAATCCGAATTCTGGACGCCACAAGCAAATTACTTAATTTTAAATAGTAACTTTTGTCAGAGTTACTCTTTAGAGTCTAGAATTTAGTTTAGAAGAAAAGAGTTTAGAATTTAGAGAGTGCACTCGTTAAATTTGCTTACTTTAACACGTATCCAACTGCCACAGGATCTCATGTCGTAACGATTTTTGTTGAGTGCAGTTTTTATAAAACAATCAACATGAAATTCTCATTGAAATTAGCATAAAATTATCTAAAAACATTTTGTTAAAAGAAATCAATAAAAAGCTTTAAAAGCTGATTTAGATTTTAGAGTTTAGACTTTAGGGTTATGAATTTAGCGCCCCACTTCTATTAGCCCCCCTTTCTATTAGCCCCCCTTTCTATTAACGCCCCTTTCTATTAACGCCCCTTTCTATTAGCGCCCCTTTCTATTAGCGCCCCTTTCTATTAGCGCCCCTTTCTATTAGCGCCCCTTTCTATTAGCGCCCCTTTCTATTAGCGCCCCTTTCTATTAGCGCCCCTTTCTATTAGCGCCCCTTTCTATTAGCGCCCCTTTCTACTATTTGTCTGGGATTCTCACCGAGCCTGGCTGAAAACTCTTGTTTGTGCTTTTTCCTATTTAAAAGCTGGCAGAGACACCTCCCTCAATTACGCATTTTGTCCGAACAGCGATCGGTACAATTTATGCAAAACCGAGCTAACACAATGCCGGGCTGTCGTGAATCCCGCGCCTTCCCAAACACCGCCTCAACTACATTTCTAGAAATGACGCTGACAGCTCGTAACTCAACGAATGGCCCTTTTCTCTCCCACTTTTGTTGTCTACTTGTGCGCAAATAAACTCTTGCTCTAAGCTAGCCTAATAGCGAAACCCGCATAACAAAACCCGCATAACGAAACCCAGATCAACACGCAAACTCTAAACAGCTCTATACTCTACTTGTGGAATCTCTTCGCTACTCGCTTCAGTGCGAAGAGATTCAATTCCTAATTAGGAAAAATGATTCTATGAAAGAAATAGATTTGATGATTTACGATTACTTCCCACTCTTTCACTTGTTTCAATTTCTTATCTTTTCAATAAAATGTGGAAGACCGTCGGAAATGCACTGAAAATCAGAATCTGTTAAACTTAGAGCTCAGACGATTAGGAGTATTCAAAAAATTGTTTATTAATTCTAAACTGGAAATACAACAACAGCCTTCGTAGCGATAACTCAAAATCTAAAGAAGCTATTTCAAAACTGTAATAAGATTTAAATTCTGTAAAAGATTGGCTAGAAGAACCACTAGATGAAGTCACCTCCTACACCCAAAAATTGCTTTTATTATTATCATTGTTATTTTGAGTCATCTGAATTGAAATTTTGAAGAGATTTCAACAGTAACTTTTTATCTTATGTTGCTTTTAAATGGCCATTACCAGTCGGTGGAAACCTTTGAGCCAAAATTCAGATGATAACTTCCGGCAAGAATCCCATTTCTAACATTATATCAGATTAGAAAGATGATCAAGGGAATGTTATTTAAACGAAAGAGAGGGAAAGAGAGGGAAAGAGAGGGACATGGAAAGATGAGAACAAAAAATAGCAAAAACACTGACGCCCGTGGGGGTCGAACCCGACTAGCAAAAGTGGAAACCAGAGGCACTACCACTGTCCCACCGAGCCACTTCTACAAGAGGCGATCGTTATATACCCGCTCAGTGCACTAGGGGATCAAATTTCAAATGCGTTTTTACAGAGCGCTTCGGTAAAAGCTAAAAACACCATCGTGTTGCCCGTGTCCGACTTGCGTAAGTCATATAGCTTTGGTTTGGATTCGCGTTTGCGAAATCTGATCGTTTCCTCGTTTCCTAGTAAGACACTCCACACAGAGGAATCCATCGGATTGAGATCTTGAGATTGAGAGGGTTGAGATTGAGAGGATTGAGAGGATTGAGATTGAGAGGATTGAGATTGAGAGGGTTGAGATTGAGAGGATTGGGATTGAGAGGATTGAGATTGAGAGGGTTGAGATTGAGAGGGTTGAGATTGAGAGGATTGGGATTGAGAGGATTGAGATTGAGAGGGTTGAGATTGAGAGGATTGAGATTGAGAGGATTGAGATTGAGAGGGTTGAGATTGAGAGGATTGAGATTGAGAGGGTTGAGATTGAGGATTGAGATTGAGAGGATTGAGATTGAGAGGATTGAGATTGAGAGGGTTGAGATTGAGGATTGAGATTGAGAGGATTGAGATTGAGAGGGTTGAGATTGAGAGGGTTGAGATTGAGAGGATTGGGATTGAGAGGATTGAGATTGAGAGGGTTGAGATTGAGAGGGTTGAGATTGAGGATTGAGATTGAGAGGAAGAGTGAGTTCTGAGTACATGATGTTATTCTGAATCTGCAAACCCTATACTCTAAATGTTTCAAACAAAAACTTTATCAATATCACATAAAAAAAGAAAATATTTCAATCATTTTTCTTCTCAATCGGGGTTTTCGCGCGGATAATCGGCAATTTTTTTTCAATGAGCGATGCTCTTCGACCTTCTCTCGTTGGTGGCTTATCGATTGACATCAGTACATGACTTTGTTTATCTTTTGATGTGAGATGATGCACCGGTGGATGATGGCCATTCCCATTCTCGTGCACATGCTCGTTCAACCAGTAACAGTTCACCTCACCTTGAAAACTATTGTAAGACCGGATGATAAAGTTGTAATTTTGGTTACATATGGTAATGATAAAAGGTGTAATGCTTCTATAGAACTAGAATTGCTAAATATTAGGTTTTTCGGATATAAACAAGCGTTTGCACTGCTTAACTCGTGAGGAAGTCATTTCCCGTATCTGATCGCCTTTCCAATGCCGTGGAGATGCTCATCAATAGTAGAATTTGAAGAAAGAAACATGAACATAGGTTGTAGAAGCTCGAAATACACAAGGCCCTTGTTATTCCACCATACTGCGAGCATGACCTTTTTCCCATGAATGTCCGGTTTCACGGTCGGATTCGGCCGTTCTCCTGGTCCTAGCCATTGCCGTTTTCGAATAGTATTATCGAAATAGATCCATTTCTCATCTCCAGTAACGAGAGAATCAAAAACCCATGATCTTTAACGTTGCGGATGAGAATTCCGGCAATAGCGACCCGTGAAGCCTTGTTTGCACTGCTTAACTCGTGAGGAAGTCATTTCCCGTATCTGATCGTCTTTCCAATGGAGTGGAGATGCTCATCAATGGTAGAATTTGAACATAGAAACTGTTGAGCAAGTTCACGCCTCGTGGATGGATCCGATTGACATGGATCCGATTCGATTGCAGCCCTCAAAATATCGTTGTCTACCGCTTGAGATCGACGAGAGTGTTCATCATCCGCGAGACTTTCATCACCATTCCGAAAGCGTTGGAACCAGGCTCGGCATCGGCTTTCAAACAAAACATCATTCCCAAATGCTTTCAACCAAATCTCGATGGGATTCTGCGACTGTTTTGCCCAGTTTGAAGTCGTAAAGTAGGCAGACGCGAACTTGATATTTGAAGTCGGTCATCTAAAGCAAGAAAAAAGCTCTTAAAAATAAGAAATTATGCGTTTAAAAAGATTCCAAACATACACAAGATAACGTAGTTTTAAATACAAAAAGAAATGTTTTAAAAGTTTCTCTCACAACAAAAAGTTTAACAACGCTAGTCTATATCCGAACAACCTAATAGAAATCGAATTTCTTATAACCTTTCGATCAAAAAGAAACCTTTTCCTTTCACATGCACAATTCCTCTTTTCACCAAACGATACTCGGGCACATCGAATAATTTCATCGCGGTGATCTCGCTCGTTTGAATTTGATTCGGCGGACAATTCGATTGCATTCGAGAAGCGAAATTTACCTAAATGGAAATGATTTGCGCATTACAATGTTGACTAACGGTGTCGCCGAAGAGGCAATATCTTGGCGACTTCAAGCCGATCACTCCAGCTGCAATCGGACCACAATGGAAACCGATTCGGACACGGACTTTGAACTCGGGTAGATGAACCACTTTGTATCGATAAGAGGCCTGGAAAAAGTTTTTTGAGTTGCTTGAGGTGATTCTAATTAGCTAAGCTAGTAATCTAATAGCTAATTCAGATTACCTCTCTCATTTCCAATGACACATCCGCTATCTCAAAGACATGCCGACCATCATTCTCATTGGGTACACCAGAAGCGACCATGTAAGTTTCACCAGTTGTCTCTACCTAAGCAATAGTTGTTTTTTAGAGCTTATTATACAATAAATTATACAATAAAAAGCTGCTCTTTAACGCGGCCGCTATGGGTAAGAGCTCTGTATCTTAGTCAGAAGGGTTCAATCCAGCCGGCTAGATTATTGGTTCTTTTTTTCCCATCTATATGGATTATTGCCAACTTAAGGTGAACTTTTGGATTCAGATTCGATGCAGAATTTCACGCTGATTCCGAATCAGTTTTTCGTTTTTGCAAAAGGGCTTTCTATCAAAAGTTACAAACATTTTAAATTTGTAGCCAAGAAATGAAATTTTTCTGGCCGTAATAGAATTCCTTCATAAGGCTTCTTCAGTGCTAGCTAGCTGTGGGCTGGCAGCAGCCAGTGGGTAGAGATATGAAACGATTTTCCCATATTTTTGCTTGGGTTTAATGCCATCCTTGGTTTTTCTTTTTATTTTGATATTTCAGCTATGGGATGTGCTAACCCTGCGGCGATTATTGAGATTAAATAATCTCAATAATCGCCGCAGGATTAGCATTGCAGCATTGCAGCAAAGCAGGATATGCTTGTGTATTGTTTGTTCACATTATTCGTGTGAATAAATCTATTGGACACGTTGGACTTCGGGATCAATTAATCATCAAGCCACCCTGAAATGAAAAAAACCTTATACGCATCATGCTCCTTGATGATCTCATCGAACAGAGTGAAAGCGTCATTCAAGAAAGTCACGATCTGAAAGCTTTTCTGTTGAACAAACGTCTAACGCATTGAAAGCAAACTTGTTCAGCATTGCTTTTTGCACAAAGAGCCGGGAAATCGACGATTTGACAGAAGAGAACCGTCACCGAATCGTAGCTTCTCGGCGGGATGATTCCACCGTTTTTGAGTACTTGGGCAATAGTTCTAAACTTTGATAATGAGCTAACTGTGCTCATGGCTTAAATTTAAAATAGCTAAATGTGATCATGGCTTTGAACTCACGCTGGTAGCATTTCACAAAGTAGACGATCCGTTTGCTCTTGTGCCACTTGCAACATCGCATTCCTCTCAGCCACAATTTTCTCCAAATTTTGTGCATATTTCTCATTCATTTTGATCATTTGATCAACGAGATTGCCTTTTCTGAAGAAAAGAAAATGGCATTAGAATTAGGATTTTACAATTAGATTACAATTAGATTACGATTAGAATTAGATTACAATTAGAATTAGATTACAATTACAATTAGATTACAATTACAATTAGATTACAATTAGAATTAGATTATAATTAGAATTAGATTAGAATTAGATTATAATTAGATTACAATTAGATTACAATTAAAAATAGATTACAATTAAAATTAGAATTAGAACTGACGCTGAAACGAAAGTTGTTTGAACGGTCTGGTTGATCGCTCGGAGTTTCGGCCTTTGTTCCGGATCACGGTGCCAACAATCGACCATGATCTGGAGCCAAATTTATTTACTAATGCATTTTAATATCATCTGAATATCAAATATCATCTGAATGCTAAAGTTTACTTTTACCTTCAATAGGGGATCCTCTTCGGAGAGTGAAACTTCAGGTTGTAAGTAGTTCTTCATGATCTCATCAAGTACCTCTAGAGTTCTTCATGTTTTAGACAAAAATCAAATATTGTTTACATGTATTAGGTAACTTTAGCACTTTACTAACGTACAGTAACCCAATCTATTTTACTAAAAGGCTTGATTATGATAAATCAGCTCAAAAAGTCGATGTTCTATGTTCAAAAAGTCAATGTGGTTCAAATAGAATTGGAATTCAGTTACCCAAATACCCGAAAATACCCGTAAATTCCATTTAACTATTAAGTAGGTTTGTTTTACTAACTGTTTTACTAAGCTTATCTAACTGCTAAGTTTCCTTAGCAAGTTTCCTAGCAAGCAAGCAAGCTGCTAAGTTTTATGGATTGGGGCTGGGAATACAAAACATGGTCGGCGCCGGGATTTGAACCCATGACCTCTCGCTTACGGCGCTTACGGCGCTCCGGCTGATGCTCCACCAATTAGCTACACCGGAATCCCCTTGCCGTCTGTGGAGGGTGTGATCTGAGGGGGATGAGATGCCTTACCTCTCTGCGACATCACGTATCGATCATATGGTGGTTGGCGGAAGAGCACATAGTAGAGAATCATTCCCATACTGTAAACATCACCGGCGACAGTACCCTTTGGGTAATTCTTCCCAATTTCGAGATCATTCAGCAATTCGGGAGCAAATGTGTGGTACACTGAATAGTAAATTGAATGAGCTTAAATGAGATCAAAGTTGAGAATTGGTTTGAGACTTGGGTTAAGACTTGGTTTGAGACTTGGTTTAAGACTTCAACAGCTATTCGAACACTGAGGATTTCCAGACTGCTGTGACCACTGGCTATCTATGAATGACAATGAATGGAGAGAGAAGTACGAAAGTTGGCCCAAGAATGAGAACGAGTACTAGAATTGTTGAGGCTAAAGTATCACCAATCAAGTATCACCAATCTAGTGCAAGGAATCTAGTGGGTTCAACTGAGTCAACCTTGATCAAGCTTGTGCCAAAAAAAAGGAGTTACTGCTCTAAGTACAATAGATAGACTAAGACAAGACTAAGACAAATAGACAGACAAGAGAAGTACGAAAGTTGGCCCAAGAATGAGAACGACTACTAGAGTTGTTGAGGCTAAAGTTCAGGCTTGATTGCAAGGATACATTTTTATCTTTTTTGTCGAAGCTCTTATTTATTTTATAACCTGGAAATTGTTACATGAAAAGTTTCTTTTTAACCGTTATTTAAAGTAGTCAAGTATTAGGTTGTCCAGTTATGAATACGCGTTTTTTACTATTTTGTAAATTTCTCAAGATACCGAAATCAAGAAAAAGATATATATGAGTATTATTCGAAAGCTGAAGATCTCCTCTACATTTTGATATAAAAAGTTTTTGAATTTGTTCAGCTTTTGGGCAAATTGACTGCACAGAAGAAGAGGTGGCCAAAAAATGGAAGGGTGTCTTTGGATCAATTATTGGCTCTGCTCAAATCGAGTTAACCGTTTGATGTTTGGCCAATAGAGCTATCAATACAACTTTTTTAAAAATATAACAATTTCAGAGCATCTCTACTTTTCTTTTCTTTTCTGGACGGCTATTTTACACCATAAAACTTGAGGAATAGCTAAGCTGAAATGGGTTTTTTCGAAAACGACCTCTCCTTTGTGCAGTGAATTTCCCAAAAAGTTGAATGAATTCAAAAACTTTTTATTCCAAAATGTAGAGGAGATCTTCAGCTTTCGAATGATATATAACACTCATATACATCTGTTCGATATCTTGAGAAATTTATAAAATAGTAAAAACGCGCATTCAGAACTGGACAACCCAATACATTTGCAGCTTCTTCTCATTGTTTTTTCATCTACAATTTCATCTACAAGCTATATTCCAATCCAAATTTCTATCTACATTTCAAGAATTGCAAGAGACGAATTGGGAGAATTCCTACTTTGCAACGGGATCATCTCCAACGGTTTCAATGTATCCGCTTTCGCAAACTCGTGAATCATCGAGCTGATCCCGAATTGAGTCAATTTCAGCACCCAATTCGCATCAATTAGACAATTTTTCGCCGTCAATAGACCGTGATATCCGATGGCGGATTTGTGGAGGAAAGTTAATCCCTGAACAATTGAATTTACAATTGGCTATTCATGAGAAAAACCTTGATAATATCTCGAAGAAAGGCGGATTTGAAAGTGGCGTCCATGTTGAACTCGGAGTCTAGCACAAAGTCCTGAATAATGATCAATTTTATATCATTAGCACCGTTAGTTTAATTAGCTTAGTTAGCTTAGTCAGCTTAGTTAGCTTAGTTAGCTTAGTTATCATTAATTACTTCGTTAGAATGATAATTCGCATTAGTTGAAGCAACTAGTTGAAGCAACAATAGTTTAGAGTTGAAATGTTTTTTTGAATTTTTCACTTTTGAAAGCTTTACCTCCAAGGATGCTCTTTCCACGATCGCATGCAAAATATAGAAATGTTCTAGATCGTTGCAGCAAATTCCGAGAAATCTCGTGAGATTATCATGCGTCAACTGCTTCAATTCGAAGAGAAACTTGAGTTCAGGACTATAAATTAAGTGTTAGACTTGAGTTCAAGACTAGAAAGTTCAGAAGGTTTGCCACTATGTTTCCAGGACCGATTCAACACAGAAAATTGCTCGTAAATACTCTAATAGAAGCCTCTCTATAGGAGCATTGCGTAGTCTAAGTTTACACTTAAAGAACCGCTCAAATCTCGGCGACCAAACATTTGTTCGGTGTTGCTCCTATAGAGAGGCTTCTATTAGAGTATTTACGAGCAATTTTCTGTGTCGAATCGGTCCTGGAAACATAGTGGCAAACCTTCTGAACTTTCTAGTCTTGAACTCAAGTGAACTCACTCTTGAAGCCTCCCTATAGGAGTGTCGCGTAGTTTGAGTTTACACTCAAATAGCCGCTCGTATCTCGGCGCCCAGACATTTGTTTCTGCGCGCTTAGGTATCAAATTCAAGTACATGATGGGCTTGATGTTATCATGACATGACCATAGTTATCACGACAAGGCATTTGAAAGCAACAAGTGCTTGATGTCCATTAATATTAGGTAAATTTTAGTTATTTTAAAACTAGAGATTCTTAGCTACAAAATGTCAATTGTGAAAATTGGCTCAGTATTCGTTTCGATTCGAGTGAAACTTTCCATTTGAAGAGTCGATTCGCGGGCCGTTTACCATTTTCCTCTTTAAGAACACCCTTTTGCTCCCAAATACCCAAGCGAAAACGCAAAGATTTGTAGAGATTTTCATTCTCTATCCAATGACACCAAAAGTAAGACAGAATAGATTGGCGACTAAGTCTTTTGACACTTTTTGTTGTGTAATTTTTCAAAGCTTGTTGAAGGAGCTAACTAAAAATAAGTGTTGTATCTCAAAATAGCCCCCATTTTCTCGACTTTAATTTGGTTCCTAAGCGAACAGAAACAAATGTCTGGGCGCCGAGATATGAGCAGTTATTTGAGTGTAAACTTAGACTACGCGACACTCCTATAGGGAGGCTTCTATTAGGTAATTTGTTTCTATTAGGTAATTAGCGATTACGGTAATTTGACTTACCGAGTCCATCGAATTTTTCGAATCTGTTTCAAAGCGATGAAATCGGCTTTTGCCGTGCCAAGGAGAGCATAGCTGGTGATAATTCTTCGTTTACTGCTGAGTGTGTCCGCACCAGCTCCTGCTGTAAGTAGATATTGTAAAATTGCGAATAGCTTTTTGGTAAATCAAGCATTTTACTCGACCAAACTTTTTGTACCTGATTTCCCCTTCATCCCCGAGACTTTGTTCTCAATGATTTTCAGGTTCTCTTTCGAAATCTTCCAATGCATTCGAAACATGTTCAGGCGTCGTCTAAAGTTTTTAAAAAAAGTGTAGAAGCTGCGAAATTTAAACCCGATTTCACTCACTTTCTTCTCACAAAATAGGCAATCGCAAAGATGAGTAGGACAAAAAAGATAGCACAACCACCGATAATGTATGGGAAGTAATTGCTGCAATCACCGGCAAGGATACATGAGTCCACCTGGAACAATCTATTTTTTCGATCATCCCCTAGACCCCGTCTTCTATTCGAGACGGTCTTATAATCGAGGCCGGTCTTCTATTCGAGTAAATACGGTAACAATAATATAACAATAATATACAGATCATTATTGAAAATTAAGCAACTAATATCTACAATTTTCTACTTTGAAGTTACTTTGATCTTTCGATCTTATCTTTCGAAAAGCTTACCTGTTGATTTCGTGGACTTGTCCAGTAGCTGCTACCATTGTCATACGCAGTCTAAACTTTTGAAGTGGAATTAAGAATTGGATTTGATTTTTATGAGTCAAGCTATGGCTCAGCTCGGTTTGAATTATTCTCTTAGTTTAGCTGCTGCTGCTGCTGCTGCTGCTGCTGCTGTTGCTGCTGCTGTCGCTGCTGTCGCTGCTGTCGCTGCTGTCGCTCTGCTGCTGCTGCTGCTGCTGCTGCTGCTGCTGCTGCTGCTGTCGCTGCTGCTGTTGTTGTTTCAATAAAATAATGGCTTAACAAAATGAAAAGTTTGAGGCAAAAGTATAGCTAAATTCGGGGCAAACATTGCTCCAAAAAATTTGAGCTAAGCGCGCCAAATAAAGCCAAAAATTGGCTCAGTTCTATCGCTTTACGAATTCTGAAAGGGTAGCGCTTTATACCTAAGCGGTATGCCAGATGGGGAGCGATTAGGCGACCGCTCAAAGAAAACTCGACGCAGGGATGGAAGAGGTAGCATCAAAAAGGTACGGATTTAACTAGACAACTTCAACGCACGGGTTACGGATACCAGAAGGGAATCACCTAATACTAGACGGGTTTGCCAGATGGAGAGCGATTACGTGGTGGCACAAAGAACACTTCGACAGTCATTTACATTGGGATTCCTCTTTTGTAGATGTTACAAAAAGATATTCAGCTGTAAATTTGCATCCGGGGTTTTCGGGGACAAGGAATCGATTGGAGCTATTCATTCAAGGCCAAGAGTCCTGCCTTGGTTCACTTTTAGTGTGTTAGTGGTAGGTCAAACTGGCTGGTTTGGATAGCTGGCTGGTTCTGGCTGGTTTGGATAGCTGGCTGGTTCTGGCTGGCTTGGATAGCTGGCTGGTTCTGGCTGGTTTGGATAGCTGGCTGGTTCTGGCTCTTGGATAGCTTTTGCTAGGGCTAAAACTTCATTTGACAAACCATTTGAAAGCAAAGCAGCGTCCCGCTACACTGAATTGGAGTCGATTTCAGTGACATCACCGTCGTCGCGTTTCCACTTGGACCATTGTAGGCTGCGACCTGGAATAAAGCATGGCTTTTAATCGTTTGAATAAAAACTAAGTGTATGTATTTATTCTAATAATTAGTTTCAAATCAATAGATCAAATCCAAAAGGTAATACTGTACCTCAAAATCCCGTATCAATGATCCACCGCCATCAAAGAGTGAAGTGCCCATTGCATCTGCAAAAAGACGACACTGAATCATGAACTGAAGTCCTGGACAAGCCTAGACCTGACCCTGATCCCTGGGCCTCGGACCAACCCTAGACCCGGCCCTGACCGCGAACCTTGAACCAACCCTGGACCTGACCCTGATCCCTGGGCCTTGGACCAACCCTAGGCCCGGCCCTGACCGCGAACCTTGAACCAACCCTGGACCTGACCCTGATCCCGGGGCCTCGGACCAACCCTGACCTGGCCCTGAACCTCATCCTAACCTCATCGTACATTTTGGACTTGCATCATGAACCTAGGAGCCCATAGAACTCGCTTTGAAGCCTGAACTCTGGACCTCACCCTGAACTGTCTAGGGAACGATCAATGGCTAGGGAACGATGTCTAGGGAACGCAAGCGTGTTCAAGACCCAGTCCACGCCAGAAGCCAGGCTTTCCTGTTGTCCACAAAAAGTGGACCGCGACACCTTTTTTGGAAAAGTTACTGACAAACATCTGACTTATTACCAAAGTGCCAAGTGTTATATAGAAAAATAAAGCCCTTTATCTTGGCTAAATTTCTGTATTAAAAGTTTCTCGTTTGGAATTATATAGCTCATTTTACCAGCTCTCGAATGAGCTCAAGTCGGCCTTTCTCCGGCGATCTGCTAGTTTTGACAGACAATATTATCATTTAGAAAGAAAGAAAGGAGTTTCTTTAATCAAACTTGTGATATTTTACTTTAAAAGTACCATTTATCAAAAATATAATGCTAGAGCAAAAATATAAAGCTACAGAAAGATCTTCTCATCAAATGGCTATTCGAAAAGGTTTAATTTTCACTTTTTTTGCAGAGTTGAACCCAGAAATCAACCCAATTTTGGCCATGAAAGCTTCACAAAAGAGTTTGCTGTTATTTTTATTGTTAATAAATGAGATTAAATGTTATTTTCTCATAAAATGAAACTTTTTAACAATTTTTTTATTAAGAAAAATGTCAAAAATAGCAGATCGCCGGAAAAATGTCAAAAATAGGCTGACTCATTCAAGAGCTTGTAAAATGAGCTATATAATTCCAATCGAGAAACTTTTAATACAGAAATGTAGCCAAGATAAAGGGCTTTATTTTTGCTACACAACACTTGATACTTTGGTAATAACTCAGGCATTTGCTAGCAACTTTTCCAAAAAAGGTGTCATATTTCGCGATCATCCTCTCTAGAGTGTGTTCCTCTCAAGAAATAGTGCAAAATAGGAAGCGAGTGCATTTAAAAGAAACTGAATATCTTACAAATTGTAGAAGATATTCAAGATATTCAATTGATTTCGACCTAACCCCTTTCCTAATTCACAATATTTCTTGAGGGGAACACACTCTAATTCTATTTCTATTTCTATTTCTATTTCTATTTCTATTTCTATTTCTATTTCTGATAAGGAAAAGTTCAATTACGATGGACCCAATGACTTTCGACGTTATTGGCATGATCTAAGACACTCTAATCCTGTCAACCAAGACTTTTATGTCAAATTTCATGTCGAATAATTTCATGTCGTAAGCAGAGAGAGGCAGAGCTCATTCAAGAGCTTGTAAAATGAGCTATATAATTCCAATCGCGAAACTTTTTATACAGAAATGTAGCCAAGATAAAGGGCTTTATTTTTCTAAATAACACTTGGCACTTTTGAAATAAATTCGACCTTCGCCAGATATTTTTCCAAAAAGTATAGCCGAATTTTATTTATTTAATAAAGTTTGGCTTTTGAAAGCTTTTGAAAAGTTCGCTTAAAGTTTAATTATTGAAATCTTTTCAATTTCTACTTGTGAAAGTGTGATTTGCAAACTGTTGTTGATAATTCCGCCCAGTTTTGTAGTTTTTCCCTGGACTGAAGCAATATCCATAACACGCGTTGTACAATGCCATGAACTCGTTGAAGAGTGTGTTCTATAAGGGTTTAGCTTTAGATTTAAGCTCAACCATTTTCAATTTCCAACTTCAAAGTTAGCTTGTAGATTTGCTCAATTGATTCTCACCTTTTGAGCTTGCCAATAGTCGGGCATAGCGTCGGCAAAAATACCCTCATTTAGCATGTCAAAGTTGCTGATCACTGGCGCTAACTAAAATCGTTTACCTATACAATTCTTAAGAAAAAGATTATAAACAGTTCTTAACAGTAACAGGTAATCTAAAGTTCTAAGGAATTCTTTCCAAATTTTCATTGAAACGTAGTTGAAAACTCACGAAAACCACACCACCTTTGCTGGTAATTTTTTGCTGGATTGCGGCTGAACAGATCTAAAAGAGGATATATCTACTATATATAAAGAAATTAAGACGTCTGTATGTCTGTCTGTCTATCCGTCTGTCTGTCTATCCGTAGGTCTGTCCGTCTGTCTGTACGTCTGTCTGTCTGTCCAGTCGTCTGTCCAGCTGTGTGACTGTCCAGCTGTCTGTCTGTCTGTCTATCCATTTGTCCGTCTGTCTGTCTGTCCTGTCTGTCTGTCTGTCCAGCTGTCTGTCTATCCGTATGTCCATCTGTCCGTCTGTCTGTCTGTCTATCCATCTGTCTGTCTGTCTATCCAGCTGTCTGTCTATCCGTATGTCTGTCTTTCTGTCTGTACGTCTGTCTGTCTGTCTATCCCTCTGTCCGTCTGTCCGTCTGTCCGTCTGTCCGTCTGTTTGTCCGTCTGTCTGTCTGTCTGCGTGTCTATGCGCGCTACTCTTCAGCCCCCAGAGGACCGTTTGCAATCATTTTTGCGCCTTTGAATAGGAAATTAGTTGTGCAACGCGCTTTTGGATTTTTTAAAAAGCACAATTCAAGTCGCACGCGGTAGTCGAACCGGATCATATGGGCGATAGACCGGCGCGCTATCCGCTGCTCCACGGGGACAAAAGCCGTCCATCCCCAAAACATCGAGAAAAATCCACCGTTTGGCTGGTTTCTCGGCTGGTCTTAGGATAAAAGAGGGTTAAAAGAGGATAAAATATTAATAGTTATATATTAATAGATGCTTGATTAATGATTTGAAATCCAAGTACATCAGTGGGAGTAGTGCAAGCAATGACAACGAAGAATTGACTGGTGAGGAGACCCGAGATGTCCAATGCATCCCATGCAGCACCAAAGTCTGGGAAATCTCCGCCAATGACGATTACTAAATCAACAACTTGTATCATACCTTGAATTTTGTTATTAGTTGTAGTCAAAATCCGATCAAGCTGATCGGAAAGTCTTTTCCGCTTTTTAAAGGTTAATTTTTTGAAATGAATAATGAACCAATCAATCGATGGTTTATGGATCAAAAGTGAAAGATTTGAGGCAAAGAAAGGGTTGAATTTCTTTCAATCTTTTCATATTAGTTGAATTCTTTCATTTCACAAGTTTTCTCTTACATTTTGTCGATTGTTTCAGCGCCACTTTATTGCTTGCAAAGCTCAAATCCGATCCATCATTTTCACAATACAACTTCACAGTGATTCCCGTTGCGTTTCCGTTTGCTTTCAAGTAATCATTCAATCCTTGAGCTATCGGATAGTTTTTATCCACTGGAGCCGGTCCAACCAAAGCTACCTAAAATTCATAGCACAAATACATTTTATTTTATATCTGTCGCAGGCGCTCGTGATTTTTAGCCGCTAGTGATTCAATCATCATCGGCTAGCCGCTAGTGATTCAATCATCATCGGCTAGCCGCTAGTGATTCAATCATCATCGGCTAGCCGCTAGTGACTCAATCATCATCGGCTAGTCGCTAGTGATTGAATCATCATCGGCTAGCCACTAGTGACTCAATCATCATCGGCTAGCCACTAGTGACTCAATCATCATCGGCTAGCCACTAGTGACTCAATCATCATCGGCTAGCCGCTAGTGACTCAATCATCATCGGCTAGTCGCTAGTGATTCAATCATCATCGGTTAGCCACTAGTGACTCAATCATCATCACCGTTTGTCATTCAATCATTAGCGGCTGAAAATCACGAGCAGCTGCGACATATACAAATTTCAATAGCTTACAAATTTCAGTGGCTTACTATAATAACTTTTCCACAACCTACCGCTTTCTCACCGATCTTTCCCGCCAAAAATTTCAGTGCCATTCCCAAACCAACGTATGTAGCTGGTGAGAATTGGACCACGTTTGGGAATTCCTGAATTCTTATGTTTCTTTTAAGTTTAATGAAAATTTTACATCAATATTGAGAATATCGATAGAAACGGGTGTTCTGGTGAGAACTGGATTTCCATTAAAGAAAGAGAGTCGAGAGATTTCTTCTAACTCATCAACACACGGCGGAGCAACAAAAGCATTGACCTGGAAAAGAGATTGTTGTAAAAATTGTTGTAAATTTGTTGTTGTTGTTGCTGTTGTTGCTGTTGTTTTCCATGTTTCTAAACCTGTCCAGCGTAGTACTTCTCCAGAGCATTGATGGTACCCAACGACGGTTGATCCGGCATGCAACCATTTACTCGTTGAATGCTGAAAGTATGACATCACTTTGGTTTAGTTATTTGAGCTGTGTTGGCTAAAAGGCTGGGCAAAGCTACCGTAAACCCTTTTAGCTACCGTAATTCCTTTTTAGCTTCCGTAATCCTTTTATCCGACTAATTCGGATTGATTCGAGAAGAAACTGTGAGTCGAATGCAAGAAAAGGTAGTGTTTTCAGTTTAATAATTAAATCTTGAATCAAAGAAAAGGTATCTTTCAAGATTTAATTATTAAACTCTTAAAACAAACGCTACCTTTTCTTTTATGTGGAATGGACAAAATCTCGATTTATCGATAGTGATATTTGATTGTATAGTTTTTGTAGAATTGATGGTTTTATATTGAATAAATTTTAGCTCAAATTCCGGCAGTTTTCAATTCACCAACCTAATAGCAATTCTATGTTTGTTTGAAGAAAACTTGCTAATAGAAAAAAAGCAAGGGATCTCAACAGATAGTACTTAACCTAGTATTGTAGTCTTGTATTGTACAACAGATAGTATTTGTAGTCTAGTATTGTACAACAGATAGTATTTCTAGTCTTGTATTGTACAACAGGTAGTATTTGTAGTCTTGTATTGTACAACAGATAGTATTTGTAGTCTAGTATTATACAAGAGATAGTATTTCTAGTCTTGTATTGTACAACAGATAGTATTTGTAGTCTAGTATTGTACAACAGATAGTATTTCTAGTCTTGTATTGTACAACAGGTAGTATTTGTAGTCTTGTATTGTACAACAGATAGTATTTGTAGTCTAGTATTATACAAGAGATAGTATTTGTAGTCTTGTATTGTACAACAGATAGTATTTGTAGCCTTGTATTGTACAAGAGATATTATTTCTAGTCTTGTATTGTACAACAGATAGTTTTTGTAGCCTTGTATTGTACAACAGGTAGTATTTCTAGTCTAGTATTGTACAACAGATAGTATTTGTAGTCTTGTATTGTACAACAGATAGTTTTTGTAGTCTTGTATTGTTTTCATTGCAACAACTTTTAGATGAACCAAGAAACAACCATTTAAACGTACATGATTTCCTCGTCTGGGCATTGATTATCGGATTGAGCTTCGTTGAGGGCTTGTTGGCAAAGATTCTCAGTCTAAATGAGTTTTTTTTTCTGATATGCGTCAGAGATTATGTGTTTCGAGAGGCAAAAACTGTCGAAGTAGACTCAAAGGAGGCTTTTACTTTTACAAAGGAGGCTTTTCTAACAGCTACCTACCTCAGCTCGACTATCGACGATGACCAAAATTGCCGCAAACGAAATATCAAAGAATATCAAGAAAACGAATGAAATGATTGACTTCATTGTCTCGAGTGTAAGCTCATCTAAAGCTTATATGTAGATAAGAAGATAGGTAATAAGATAGGCAATAAGATAGCCAGACTAACCAGAGAAATCTAAGCCAACTCTGTTTCAAACTTAACTATCCAAAAGCAAAGTCTACGAACTTCAAAAAAATCAATACCACTTCTGAAAAGATGTGGAAATCTTTGACTTCTTTTCGAAAATCCCTCTTTTCATTTATCGTTTTGTCTTTTTCTTCCTTTTCCCTCGAGAGAGATCAGTTGTTATTGTTACCTGGCTGTGTCTAATGAATACCCATTTCTGCCCATCTTCTTTTCCATCCAACCGATCACTAATGAGGGGTTTATCCATCCAATTTCGCGGAACATTTAGAGAAATTCTGAAAGAATGTAATGAAGACTAAGCTTTGAATTATCCAATAATGGTTATTCAAAAATGGTTATCCAAAAATTGAGTGGCACCTTAACTGTAACTTACTAGGGAAAGGTGAGCTTTTGTCTGGATATCTAGAATAGATATCGGTCATGGGATATCCGAATCTGAAATCAAAATCAGCCGAATAACTTTCCAGGCGAGTGAAACTTCAATTTGGCCTCAAATTTGGCCTCAAAACGGAAAAACAAAAGGCTCCATCAGGGCTTAAACCCTGATCCTGTGGGCCGAAGTCTAAGGGCGACGGACCGCCTTGTCATTGGCAAATTAGATTCTTTATACAAGGCACCGAATTAACACTTATATCAAGAATTTGGTGCTCAAGAAAGTATGTGTTTCCATGCTTAAGAGCATGATCTCAAACTGAAATCGAAATCAACTATAAGTTGCAAATGAAACTTTAAATTTCAACTATAAGAACCAAGAAGAAAATTCAGGCACTGAGCCAACAAGCTCATCTTTGAACACAATTTATGGTTATCAAATGTTTGATACACGTCCCGCCCTTTTTCCATTGGCAATCTAACCTTGAGCTCAAATTTCTTGGTGTTGGACGGTCGAATTTAAATATCCTTAGTATGATTAGAGGCGCCAAGTCTTTCTCTATCGATTAATATAAAAACTATTGAAATTGGACAACCCAACACCAAGATATTTGAGTTTAAAGTTGAATTGCCAATGGCAAAGGGAGTGGGGCGCGTATAAAAGGGTCCGTCGCCCCGCCCCTTTTGTCATTGGCAATCCAGCTTTAAGCTCAAATATCTTGGCGTTTGGCTGTCCAATTTAAATAGCTTTTGTACCAATCGACAGAGAAAGACTTGGCGCATCTAATCATACCAAGGATATTTAAATTGCACAGCCAAAGACCAAGAAATTTGAGCTCAAAGTTAGATTGCCAATGGCAAAGAGCGAGGCGCTTATCAAATGCCCCACACTCGGTTTTGAAAGATTTAGAAAATCTAGGAATACTCTTTCGAGCCGACTTCACTAATAGACATAGACGTCACTTTTTAGGCACTCGCTTGAGGATTCGGTGGGAACATTTGGGACACAACGTGTTTCTGGTGTTACGCGAACAACAACCGACAAGACACACTTGACTCGGGCAATAGGTACATTCACCAAAACGCTTGGGGATACGATGGGTGTGATGGAACGCCGGCACAACGAGATGCCAAATAGGGGTGACGAATTTGGAGTTCTGGGACAGTGGAGCTTGGTCGAATATGTGCAACGATTGCGGGGGAAATGGAGACTTTTTTCTGTACTGGAAATGGGGACTTTGTTCTGTTTGGGGACCCGAACCGTAAAAGGATTGACTTCACAAGAAAGTGCGCGTTGAAAGTAGAGTTCATTAGCTTGGGATTCCATAGGAAACCATCATCTTATTCTTTAAAGTAAAGCTGTTCATCTGTCGGTTTGTTTTTCAATAGGTGTACAAGAGAAAAACGATTTTTCACCACTTCAATGGCAACTTTTTCAAGATTTCTAACTGTAAAGATAGATTTCTAACTTCAAATAATTTATGCACACTTTGAGCCAAGCAAATACCCTGGGAATTAGATTTTCAATCACAGAAAAGAAAAAATTCAATCACAGACGACAATCTCTGGCAAAAGGCAATAGCAAAACAAGAAAACAATCACCCGCTGATAGAATTTCTTAAGAAAATCTCTATTTAACAAATGAAGAAATTGATAACAAAAGATTAAATATTTAAAACAAATTAAATGCCAATGCTTAACATGACGTAAACGATACACTTGGCTCCTCGCAACTATGATAAGAGGCGATGCTGCCGAAATCATTACCAACTTCATCCATAATAGAGAAATGTGGAAGGTCTTCCATTTGAGTTCCGCAATCGCGTAATTGCTGACAGCCATAATTGTTGGCATTTTGCATATCCCTGAAAGTTTGTTTGTTTGTTAATTGGAACAAGAAATAGACTTTGAATTGCTTATGGATTCGGCCAAATTAATCAAAAATTGATTTAATTGCTCATAATTGATTAATTGATGAAACAACTATGATAAGAGGCTATGATATCATGAAATCATCGTCAAATTCATCCTTGGGACTTGGATAAGCTTTGTTCCTTGGGACTTGGATAGCTGACGAGGATAGCTCCAAGTCCTTGGGACTTGGATAAGCTCGAAATCGAACGAACGAACGAACGAGATCGAATCGACTGAGCTCGAAATCGAACTCGAAGATGACGCTGACAGCTTCATAACGATTCTGAACTTCGAGCTCAGACTGTTTCCTCGTGAGCTAGACCAGACAAAGCTAGGTCAAAGCCAGACAAAGCTAAGTCAGAGCCAGACAAAGCTAGATCAGAGCCAGACAAAGCTAGGTCAGAGCCAGCCAGAAGCCAATCCAAGTCTGACTCCTGTACTCCTTTAAAATTCAGTAAACAACCTACCTACTCGCCGCCACTTCATTGAAACCATACGTCGATTTTGAGTGAATAAAATTTCTCGCTTCCCTTTCCCGGCGCTCCTTTTTTTCATCCTCCATTGCGGTTTTTAAACATTGCTTGTCGTAGAGCTTTTTACTGAAAAATATGCCTTTTAATATTGTTTTTAATACTGCCTAAATGATCTGAATCTCCTCTCATCCCTCTCGAGTAATTCGTTCTTCTAAAAGACATCTATTTTCGAAAGCTATTCGAAAGCTATCTTAGTCAAAGCGTCAGTTTACATTCAATCACCCCGAATTTTGTATTCAATGAGCCTTTCAATTCAATGAGCCTTTTAATTCCTCAATGAATGACGCCAAAATTGGGTAAGTTGGCTTTACTTTAGTAGACTTTAATAGTTTGAATTTGGTAGTTTGACTAGGGTAGTTTGACGATGGTAGTTTGACTACGATAGTTTGACTAGGGTAGTTTAACGATGGTAGTTTGACTACGATAGTTTGACTAGGGTAGTTTGACGATGGTAGTTTGACTACGATAGTTTGACTACGGTAGTTTGACTTCGGTAGTTTGACTATGGTGGTTTGACTACAGTAGTTTGACTACGGTAGTTTGACTACGGTAGTTTGACTTCGGTAGTTTGACTTCGGTAGTTTGACTTCGGTAGTTTGACTATGGTAGTCTGATTTCGGTAGCTTGACTATGGTAGTTTGACTATGGTAGCTTGACTAAGGTAGCTTTCGAAAATAAGTGTCTTTTAGAATAGAATTACTCGAGAGAAACACACTCCAATCCGAGAACTTTTGTCGAAATCAACTCACAAAGCGTTTTCTTCTTCATTCGGGCTTTTCAAAACATGATTGGCTGGAAAAAGAATTCTACGACATTTTCGACATAAACATCCGAAAAAAGCACCAAGAATGCAACCGATTGGTATGACTCTGGAAATGAAAAGGATAGTGAAGTTTTTTGATCGTTGCAATCGATGCGAAAGTTGCGATCGAATTGGACTGGCTTGATTGAACTGGACTGGCTAAACGAGAACGAAATCGAGGAAAGCTTACGAAGCAATGCAACGAGCCACCAGCTTCCAGTCTATTTCATTTGAAGAGAAAGCATTGATCAGTGTGTTTATGCCTGGATTGGTTTCATTTTGTTGAATTTTCATGCCAGATAGAAAAAGTGGGTTCATCGAGTTGGATTATAAGAATTAATAGATCCGAATAAAACTTTCGATTGAAGTTTGATTTGATCAAAAAAGAGGTCAATCAAAGAAGAGGTTTAATCAAAGAAACAAACAAAAAGTGACGCTAATATTTGTGAAAGAAAAATGATTGTAATGACTCCTCGTGATTGCTTTCAAGGACATTTCGAGAGTGATGTGTGGGTGACTTTTCTCCGACTATCTAGTTGTTTTTTGTTCATATCAAAAAAAGATTTATCGCTTTCATAAAAAGGAAAAAACCCGTTTTTTTGCTGTTCCAAATTTGTGGTTTTTTGGTGGATGAAAGGCGCGGGATAAATCCTCGAGATCTTTACTTAGGAATTAGAATCCTAGAGCTTTTCAAGTGCCTTGAAAAGCTCTAGGATTCGACCGTAATTCTTCTATTAAAACGACAGGCTCTAATATAACAACAGTTTTTGGAAGTATTGAAAAATAGAGCGACACACAGCGACCAGGATAACAAAAAATAGTTTTTCAACAAAACGACAAAACTCCACCGGAAATTGAACCCATGACCTTTCGCTTGCCAGGCAACTGTGCTAATCATTACACCACAATGCAGTCGATCTGCCTTACTCTAGAAGGAGTTAACTGCCTTATAAAAATATTTTTCGATCCGGTCATGACTTAAAACAAAAGGAATCTCTCTAAAAAAGAGATGAGTGGCTTCATCGACATTCTCTCATCTCATCTTGTATACCTTGGATCCCCCCACCGACCAAACATATTTCTTTTGTGTGCATCTTTTTTTTTTGTCTTTGGCCGCTTCTTTGCGGCTCTCATCGCATCCGTCGATCACTTCAAACAATGCCGACATCCTCATCGGCCTGGTTTTGTCTACTCAAGAAAGCACCCGCAATGCTTGTTCTCCAGTAATAAGTGGCGGTAATCCGGTAGCCGTACTCGAGTACTCAACAACTACAACTACTTCTCGGCTTGTTGCCTGTTCAATTGTTCACTTGTGTCTTTCTCTTGGTGTTAATTCATTATAATTAACTATTTGTTGGATTCTAAACGTTTCTAACTTCAAAGTCAACGGTTTATGCTTAAATCTCCTAGCAATAAATGAAATTCGAAAGGCATTTGCCAAGATTTCTCTTCTTAAAATTATCTACACATCTATCTATATAATATCTATATAATATCTATATATTCTTTATCACAAACTCTCTTATCCTGGACGGCTTAAGCTTTTCTTTCCTTACTCCATCGCGATGTCTACGATGTCTTCGATAATTTTGAACCACCTTATATATCAAAAATTCGCTTATCCTCTTAAACTATTCATCTAACAAGTTTAACAAGTCGAATTCAAATTTAAATTCCATTTTGGATTTGAAATTGGTTAGATAGTCATTAAATTTCAATTTCAATTTAAATAGAATCAATTTCTTCTTAAATTTCTACAAATTTTTCTCTTCTTATGTTCAAGAAGTTTACTTTGTGTCAATTAAACAATTAAACATTAACCCATTCGAAACCGCAGCGTTTTTTCTTTTTTTTCGTCTACGGACCAAGCCCTTTTTTTGACATTTTTGACTCCGAAGCAGTTTGTTTATGGTTGGAAAGATGTAAGAGAGTCTCCTAAACCATTTATTTTTGATGAAGAACGATTTGGATTTGACTTCAGTACTTTTCAAGATCCTATTATTATTCTTATTTTATCGACGACAAATTAATCAATATGTTAGTAGGCTAGTCTAATAAACATGGAAAAAGGAAAACAAACTGGCAGGATTTCGATGCAAAATCTTTCAAGCTCTTCCTGGCTCTGTATCTTCAAATGGGAATCGTCAAATTACCGAGGATTCGTGACTACTGGAGTAGCAGGCCTGGATTAGGAGGATTTTCCCCACATGTCCCACATTGTGTCAAGAGCAAAATTTGAATCTATTCTTCGAAACCTGCGTTTTTGTGATAATGAACTGGATCCTGCAGGAGATCGGCTTTATAAGATTAGAGCTATTATGGAACATTTCAATGCAAAATCAGAGGCTGCATTGATTCCGGGTAAATATGAAACATCTTTTTTGCCCACGTAATTTGTAGATCTGCTACAATTGGAGTATATATGTAATGCTGAAAAACAGCAAAAAAACCAATTAATTGAATGAAAATAGCTCAATTAACGCTGCAGCGATCCGTTCCTGAGTTTTTGTTGCAGCGATTATTCGCTGCAGAAGTTTCGAATGGGTTAAACAATTAAACAATTAAACATTAAACAATTAAACATTAAACATTAAACAATTAAACATTAAACAATTAAACAATTAAACAATTTTGCCAATTAAACCTGTTCCCTTGTCACTTTTCCATGCTTACATCAATAAAGTTTTAATATACTAGCTAGTTGACTAGGAAAATTCCAACTAAAACCTAATTCCACCTTCGTTTTCTTGACCGTACTCTGAAATTTTGTCTACAGATAGAAATCGACATTTAGACAAAATTTCAAAGCAATCAGCGAAGAAACGGCCGAGAAAACAAAGGTGGAATTAGGCTTGAGTTGTAATTTTCCCATGTCTACTAGTTTCTAGATTTGTTTTATGTCTTTTAAATGTATTTGTTTGATAACTTAAATGTATTTGTTTGATAACTTGCAAAACTCAAGGAGTTCAGCAGTTTAAAAACCATAATAAGACTAGTATCTCATAGTCAGAATTGACTTTAAATCCGAATTGACGGAGAGCACAACTGATATCTGATAAGAAGCTGTTAAGAAACCTGTTAAGAAGCTGTTAAGAAGGCTGTTAAGAAAGCTGTTAAGAAGGCTGTTAAGAAGCTGTTAAGAAAGCTGTTCAGAAGGCTGCTAAGAAGCTGTTAAGAAGGCTGTTAAGAAAGCTGTTAAGAAGTGTTTTCAATTGTTGTTAGGAAAGAATTGCTCTTAAGAAGTTCTGAAAACTTTGAACACTTACTTTCCTTCCATTTGCTAGACTTTAATCTTTTAAATCATTCAAATTCTTTGATTTTCTGAGGGGTTTGAGTTTTTTATGTTTTGAATTAGTTACTGACAAGAGGAATGCTAAATCCAACCTTTTTTACAGACTTTTAACATCTGACTTTTAATCCCAGTACTCAGATCCCTGTCGTTTTCCTGAAGCGTTCGAATTTTCGGGATTCCTGGTGAATGACGCTCATTTCTCTCAACTGTTTGTCGTGGTTTCTGTTTCGATTTGATGGGTGTCCATTTTGATTTCTTTTCTTCCTTTTCTTCTCTTTATTCTCTTTCTTCGTTTTCTTCTCTTTCTTCCTTTTCTTCTTTCCCATTTTTCTCTTCTCAATCCATATTTGGATGAGACCCTCGGGCTGTCGACAAATAGAGAAATTCTCCGAAAACGATTCGAACACCCTCTCCGTTTCTCTCTTTTTCTAAGCATCAATTACCCTCCAAATAGCCACTTGACTCCGTGATTTTGTATATTTTCTTCAAAATCAATATTTTCTTAACAAAAAATTCTTCTATTTCTTATGATATGGGTCTCTCAATGTTCTTCTCAACCTCTAATGGTTGCATCAGAGCCTTTTGCATCAGAGCCTTTTGCATCAGAGCCTTTTGCATCAGAGCTAATTCTTTGAAACTTTAGCATTCATCTTTAAACTTTTTTTGTTTACAGGCACTAGGCCTTTATATTTTATCTTACTACCACAGTATGCAAAAAGCTTAGACTCAAAGGTTGAACATTTTGCCAAGCATTTATCGTTTGTAGAGCCGCGGAGGGGATACGGATGATGGAAACTAGCATGCTTCTTTTGTGGAGTGGCGGGGAAAATATACGAAAATACTGATTTCGGTTTTTTTACCATTGAGTACTGTACGTAGTGCATATTATAGAGCAATGCATATAGCAAATATGTATATACTAAAACATTATCATACAGATCAGGTTCGCATTTAACCCCAAACTGCATACCGTATTTTCTCTAATAGTAGTGCACCCTGAGCGTCGCCTAAATTTCTCAAAATCTCAAGAACCGCTTATCAGAACCTATCGATGTGGGGTCGGAAAATGTAGCTGACGATGAGATCTTGTGGGGGATTAGAGTGTTGAGCTTCTGCGAAAGCTTCCAAACCGTAAAATAGTCACCAACTCGGCTCGCCCGGGTGCACTACTATTAGAGAAAATACGGTAGTTCTTTTTTCCCATCTATGGGTTTTTTCTTCTCTATTTTCTGGGCTTAGGGGCTTTACTTATGCATTGTTTGTACCACATTATTTATGTGAATAAATGTATCTAACCTGCCAGCCCAGGCGATAGCAATAGAGACTTGTCCAGCGGTTGGACCCAGCCATAGATAAACGTCAATAAATAAACCTGACTCGGTCGAAAAGTACCCAGATAGTTATTTACAATAGCGATTAGATCGACTAGGCCACCGATCTGTGACTACTGATTACTGTGAATATCTATGTCTTGCTGTACACAGCCAGCTCCAGGGCTGTTTCCTGGGATAACCAAATCAAGCGCAGGTTTGAATCCAGCTGGATTGCCTTTAGGCTTTAGAAAAAGCTCCGCTCTTTGTTCACAGCCTTAATAGCGTCTTAACCTTTGAGATATCCACGACACCTTTCTCGCTCTCTCAAAAGCCTTTCTAGTGCCATTTTGTGTAGCCGCTGCTCTTGTTCTTTTCAAAATTTCGATCTCACGACGAGAAAATGAAGCGTCTCTAGTATATCGTATTTTCCGTAAAAGTAGTTCAACTTAAGCTTCGCCTAAATTCCTCGAAATCTCGAGAACTGCTTATCAGAACCTATCGATGTGGGGTCGGAAAATGTAGCTGACGATGAGATCTAGCGGGGGATTAGAGTGTTGAGCTTCTGCGAAAGCTTGGGAACTGTAAAATAGTCGTCAACTCGGCTCGGCCGGGCGGAGGGGGAAAGGGCACTACAATTAGAGAAAATACAGAATACCGTATTCCCTCTAATAGTAGTGCACCCAAAGCTTCGCCTAAATTCCTCGAAATCTCGA